ATCCTAAAAAAATTAACGATTTCATAGTGTGCAAATATAAAATGAATAATAAAAAAAAAATTAAGCAAAATATGAATACTTCCTTGCTTGTGTACCTACTTTATACATGAATTATTTATATTTTTGTCCATTGGTCTGAAGAATGTTGTTCAATCGAAAGAAGAAATAAATTAACGAAATATCGACGTTGTAGTACCTATATGATGTACAGCCAATATTGACATATTTGACTTGCACTATAATGTTATTACTTATTATGAAAGTGGATTACATTACAAGTTTGTAATATTATATTGTTATTAGGAAAGTAAGCTGATCTGTTCTTGTATTGGTTTATAAATTATATTTTTTATAACTGTATTTATATCATAACATTTAATATCATCTGGTCATTAGTCATTTACAAACTATTTACCTAATTATTGGTTACAAAATATTTTAAACGTGTTTTTAAAAATTCTTCCAGTTAAACCCAATACATTTTTACATTTGATTGACTTGATTGGTTTCTTTTTTTCGTTGAATAGCTTCGAATGAGTAGGTAATCCAAGTTATGTAAGATGTGGTGATCAGTCTTGCTTTTTGTGTATTTTTTGGTGTTCGGCTTTGTATGATGTGTTGACTGAAACAATTAGGTACTCCACCCAGGTTCATAATATACTTATTTCCCCTTTAATGCTGTTGAATTTTTAATTTCGTTTAAATTCCAAATATTCTGCAATTTATCATAATAATGATATCGTTAGGGTAGTTTCACCATCGTCGTAAAAAGTGTGTTCAATTAGTGGGGAGTTTCAGTAATTTATTTATTTTGCATTGCATCTGAATGTTATTATTTTTAATAAACTAGATTGTTGAAAATATAAGACAATCTAACGAATAATATAGGTAGAAATTGTTATTATTTATAGCTCTGTAATGAGATATTATAATATTGTTATTTCACAAATAATTTTAAATACCAACTGCTCTAATTAGTAATTACTCTACGTCGGTTTTGCATTGTTATATGCTTGTAACCGTAAATAATACAATATTACCATGAACAACGAATAAAATGAAAACGTTATTCAATTCCTGTGAGAACGTAGATAGTAGAAAATTGAACATTTGTTTAATTAGCGTTTGTGTTAAATAATAATTGAAGTTGGTATAATTTTTGTTATAGATATTACATCCCACGCGTTAAATATTCAATATATTCGTTTACATTACAAAATTGTATCTTATTAAAATAATTTATTATAAACATGTAATATTAACATAATAATAATAATAATAATAATAATAATGTGTTCCGTGTAATAGTATATCGGAGAAACTAAACTGTTAATAATAAAATTATTCAAATCAGTTCCAGTCTTACGGTTGCATATAATACTGGATAGTCAACGGCATAGCGCGTTAACTAAAATAAAAAAAAAAACGTTCTCTTAACACGTGCGTGCGATATACGTATATTGTAATATTTGCAAAGTTATAAAACAGTAACGCCGACGTCGCTGTTAAAATACAGGATTCTCGGGGGTTAATTCTATTTGTTCGTCCTGGATTTCAAAAATAAACGGCTCGTCAAACGTTATACCTACTCGCATGGTTGCGTGTGCATACTTATTTTTTAACACCTCTGCTCGTTTAAACGTTTCACAAAATAAGAATAAATCACGTGCCTACCCTAACCATATGACCCCCCCCGCATCACATCTCACCGTGCCCCCCGAGAGAGTCGGCTTCGTCACTAGTCCTCAAGCTATAATGGGGGCCACGTGCGGTGGAAGTGTAGTGGTAGGTAGTATAATATTATAATGTGCGTGAAGCGATTCGAGTTTCATCTTTATACTGAGCTCTATTTACGAAACAGAACGCAAACGACCAAATCTATTTTCGAAACTTTAAATGCAAATCGAGTTTAATGTTCAGCCATCAAAACCTAAAAATAATGTAAAACGTACCCCGTAGCTACGGGTAAAACATAAATCCATTTTTTTTTTCTCAGAGAGTGCCGAAAAATATAAAATATATTAACACAATGTGATGCTCACAATGACGTGCAATAATATTATACTTATAATGTACGAGATGTGTGTCAAACCGAACCCGAACCAAATTTACTTGAAACCCGAAATAGAATATCGAGTACTTACGTCTATTGTGTGCACAAAAATTACGAAATAAGATAAAATATCGATCCTATATTATGTAAACTTGAAATCACTTAAGGTGGATATTTATTAAATCGAATGGATATTTTTTTTTTTCCAGCACAATGTAATAATTTATTAAGCTTCAAGTTAACAAACGACAATTATTAAACCATTATAAAACTGAGCACGGAATAATACAATTATGAATTAATTCAAATGTTTATTTTTCAGATTTTCCAATAGTTCAATGCCAAAGTTTGAGCTTATCGTATGAGCTCCTTTATATGCTATAATGCTCAGAGTTCATTCGGAAATAATGCATGATGTTTTGAAAAGAATGGACTAATTTTGAACTACTCTTTTTTGAAAAATCGTACAAAAAAAGTAAATAAATATTTTTATTTTCATGAATCATTACATTTTTACAATATGTTCGATATGACCACCAACTGTTACACGGACAATATAGAGGTGATATTTGAACTCCTCCACATTGTCACAGTACAGTTCTCAGCTTCCTAAATCACCACTATCCTCAAGGCTGGATAGGACATGCAGGTAAGCAGCATCTCAATTCCAGCCCACCAAGAGACAAAGTCTTTAAAATTAATGAAACTATAAGGATATTTTTACCACAAATTATACCAGTGATCCAGCAGTGACGCCAATGTGAAAAAAAATTTTAATTTATTTACAGTGATGCACTCGAAAAAAAAATCGAAAATATCCCTCGACTTGCTATGCAAAATCACCTAAAGGTACCTAACTGCCGTATAACCACTCTTATCATTTTTCGGACAAGTGATTATTACTAGCTTTTTTTATTTGGATTTTGGAAGAAGTGTTCTTATCTCGGTAAATTGGTGCATTCTTTTGAAACTCCCTATATAAGTCAGTTTTATAGGTAAGAGGTACATATACCTATAGTGTTCTCCCTATCATTCTCTATCGTATGACATGCTGTACACACGTATAACACAATATTGGACATAATGCAAAGTGCAATAATTTATAATATTAATATGATACTTATTATGTACGCGATCTGCTACGAAACTATTATCCTGACGTAAACCTCGTTAGAGGATAATATAATATTATATATTATTATTATTATTATATGAACCCGCACAATAAACACTCCGTGTTTACAACCGGGCCCGTCATATCGATGATAATGATTCCTCGTGACAAATGTACAAACACCGATACCACGTCCCAATCGTGTTATAATTGTGTGTGTGTATAATTATTATTAATTACGCCAAGTAAATCTCTAGAGATTCGATTGAAAGCGTGTCCACAGCATTAAAGATAAAATACAGTAATTCGTACCTACGGATTAGACGTTTGACGAGCATTCGGAGTCGCACTATGGTTTATACACTATCTATAATGCGTGTGTATTCATACTGAATAATTTAGCGAAATTGAAATCCCCTTAGACATCGGTGGCTTGTACTAGGCCATAGAGCTGGGCATATAAACCATCCACAGTGGTTGTATAATAATACGATAACGATGCGTATACGTTCGGGATCTAGGACAGTATATACGTATAGTTGGGTCAAAAACATTTTCTCATAGATAGTTGATCAAAAAACGATTTTGTCAATATTACACTTTTTATCAAAGTACTTTTCATTAAAAATACAAATATAATATTATGTACCCACTTAATATTTTGAATTCGGTTTTTATTTATCTCGTTAAGTTTTAATTATATTAAATCAAGTCATCACGAAAGTACAAAGCTTTTATTGTCTTTTACGACGAATGTCAACAGATCGCATTTATATTATAATTATAATTATATTATTATGTTTGTACCTACGCTAATCACCTGTCTGTTGTTATCGCAATAATAACGCGGTATCGAAACAAGGACCGTGTCGTTGATGATTTTAGAATTTTGTTCAGCAGTTAAGTTTTTTCTACATAATATTATGCCAATTAATGGGTTATAACTTATGATACAAGAGAAAGGTCACTATTGATTTAGGCGTGGAGTTACGAAATTTGCATTTATACTGACGTTATCGATTAACAGACCGTTTATTTTTTTGTGCAATCATAAATTTAGTTTTCACAGACGGCGTTATATTATGTGACAGGCACTGGGACTCTTATTTCGCTGGCGTACGTACAACAATTCTATAATATGTTAAAATATACGAAAATAAACATAAATATCGAAATGTTTAAATTAAAGTGTCATTACGCAAACAAATCTTCAATATTGCTAGATGCACATCGTGACTTCTGGTCGAAGACTGTATAATATATATCGATTTTTAAATACCTATTATAATGTAATGCAAAATTCGTCGAATAATTATTATAGTGAATATTTTACTGTAAATTGTGTGCGTTGGCATTGACTGGAATGAAACATAGACGCCTTTGGTAAATTAATTAAGTATAGATTTTGACATCGATACTTTTTTGATGTATTGAATGAAATTAAAACGTATAAAAATATCAAATCATCACCTATATTATAATCGTTGGCTGGCGAAACGGTAGATATCTTGTTCACTCTTTGTTATAAATTCAATATCTATTTCCCACTGCTTTCTTAAAAAAAGAAAAACAATGATATCATAAGCTGTGGCTATATGTTATGGTTATAAAGAACATGAACAGAAATATCCTACTTAGGCCACATTCCATTTTGTTGGTTATTAATATATAATTATAAAATTACCGAATGAAAAAAAAAAATATACACTACTACAGTTTTCGAATATTTTTAGTAATGGCTTTTATCGCACATGTTTACTTTTGGCACCAATGACAATCAAAAGTCTAACTCTTCTGCCATCGCATACATGTTTAACGTGTGCAATACAAATATTACTTATATACGAGTATATATGGACCTGAGAACGAACATCCGGTGACAGTCGTTTCGGGCACGAGTGCATTTAATGGGTCACTACTGTTTGGACAGATAAGTTCCGTTTTCTCGGCTTCATTCATAATTGAACGATTGAGAAGTGAATCCGTGGCTGCCGAGCTACTGACAAAATCAATGTCCAAGCCGACCGTCTTTCTCACAACCATATCCACTGTCACAGATTTTTTTGTTACCATTGTTTTTTACAGCACGATACGATTTATTATTATTTGTTGAAATCATACAACCATTTAACTTTGGAAATATTGAAAAACCAAATACAAAATCTTTGATATACCTAGGCGTGTGGCATCGTGTGCATTGATGGTTTAATATTGTTTAGTTGTGCAGTGTACATTTCCTGAAAATGCTTTAAACTACCTACCTGTAATGTACCTAGTATTATGTAGTTATCACTACAATAATAACCGTACTCTAACGGTCTACGACGTTTATCAATCCGGATTAATATAATCCAAGCAATTTATACTGTACACTCATTACCCACACGCATCCATCACCAGACGGCGGACCGACTAAATTGCGTTTGACAATAATAATATATTATAATATATTGTAACAGTACTACGTGACATTACCATAACGACGAGACTTCGCACTTTGAATATTTATTGATAACTAAAGAAAGGGTTTAGGTGTACGGGTGCGGGGGTGGGGGGTGCATTTGTGGACGTCGTACTAAGCTTTTCGGGCGTGAAAACGATGGGGTTGTTGAGCAGGTAATCAGTGGTGGGGACACGACAAGGGAACAGGTGGTGGTGGTGGTGGTGGTGGTGGTGGTGGTGGCAATATTATGGTGAATGGCACATCGTTTCTAATTACCTGCCGCAGTGGAAGTGGGGACGGCGGCGGAGGCGCGGTGACTGGAAGAACACGAGGCGGACATTTCATTTTTTGTTTAATGAATATTCAGAGGTCAAGATGGTTTGTTTGCGTTAATTAATCGTTCCCGCTCGGCGAACGATTGTTTCTGACATTCGAAAATGTCTCAACGAATCAACAAAGAAAAAAAAAACAATCTGCCGGTCTCCGTTCAATATACGTACATAATATTATAATATTATCGTCTCTTTCTTGGCGCGTGCGACTTGGTATTTATTTTATCGTCGTTGTTTGGAATTTATTCGATTACGACGACGATATCGTGTGGATTTCGTACGCTGCAGACACACGGTATAATAAAAACGTTATAATCGGTCTTCCGACTTGGTGGGTGGTTGGCACGTGGAAGGACGGGGTACCCACCTTCGGAAAAAATATATTCCAGCGTTATAGGTACTCTTTTTAATTATATAAATCGGTAGTTCTTAGAAGAAAGAAATAGAAACTAAAATGGTTGGTAGGTACGTTCTAGGGTCCCTTCGCTAATTGTTCTCTTCGACTCAAGCTGGTTATATAATATACAATTGTACTAAAATTTATAACTTATAGCATATATTTAAAACCTAAAGGGGCGGAGGATAATTGGCAACCATAATATGTCACCACGTTTCGTCATTATTTACGACAAATTATTCAATCCCGACAATTTTCTTTTGTTTTTTCAACGACTTTTACCTCGTATACTTTAAAAAAAAAAAAATTCTTTGTATTTAAAATATCGATATACGTGCATTTATGTGATAGTTAGCTAACGAAAAATTAAATATAACGCCCAACATTTCGTTAATGGTTTTAAGCCACTATATACCAGAATTGTATTATTTTAGTCGTTTTCTAGGTACTTATTAAATATAAACGTTTCCAGTGACACAATTATCGTACTCGATCAACATTTTCAGGTAGTTTATCATTTAAAGCAATACAGTCTTGGAATTCTTGGAGGTTTCCCTCGAGATTATATCAACAGTATAACGAGCAAACCAAAATGTTTCTTCTCGTCCGGTTGCAACCATATAAGTGCAGGTTATACGTATACCTATATACCAGCTATACCTTCATAACGGTTTATTAATTAATTTCCAAAAACCTTTTTAACATTATTGCTTTTTCCAAGGACAAGAAAACCTCCTCCTGAAAATTCCATTACGCCATACGTTGAATTATTAAAGCATAAATGATTATACCACCGGAAAACGCGATTGCAAATTTGGTATAACACTTTATCGTACTAGGTATCTTGATGTTTAATAAAACCGTCGACTTAAAGTGATTTAGAGAAACACGTACATTATATTACACTACGTGAAAAAACATAAGGCCAACAAAAAAAAATATGCGATTTATAATAGTATACATATCGTTTACGTAGGTGGAAAAAAAAACAAAACTTTTGATATTATATGATATATGAATAAAATATATTAAAATGCGTGGGTACAAATAATATGGACGAGTAATTTTTTAATTGAAATCCGATGGGACTCAATAATTATGTTACGTGAGCGGTAATACTAATAACACCAATAATAATAATAATAATAAATCAAACGTAATATTAATTATTATATACTGCGTAATAAAAATATAATAATACATTAACAATGATGAACATGTAGTTTAGGTGTACAATCGTTATGACGTGTTTTTACAATAAATTACGTTATTGATAATTAGGTACAGGAGGTATACCTACATTTTTTTAAGCACTTTACTAGATTTTTAAATCAAATGTAGGTTAATATTATAATAATTTTTTTAATTTCTCTATTGTTCACACAAATTAGTTCCGAAAACCGTATGGCACAATGAACCCTATTGCAGGGGAAAGGGGGGAAATATGTCCCTATAATACTACGCATACCGATCAATCAAAATACTTTATATTATAATATTATACAGACATTGTTTGACTAATTAATACGCCACAGTAAATTTAAATTTCCCAAATGTATTAAAAATCTTTGATGTATCTAGCATAAATTGTTTACTTGATTGTATCTATAATGTGCCAAACAATATTGATGTATATAATATAATATATATTATAGGGTGTCCCACCGCCGAGATTATCCATTATTTCATAAAGCTGAAGTAGTACGATATGCAAAATCCATTAACAATACCACTTTAAATTAGTTTTATCCTCGTGGGAGATCGTCGTTTTATTGAAGGGGGTCAATCGACAAAAAAAAGTATTAATATTTTTCGGATAAAGGGAAAACGTCCTTAATACTAATCGTGAATATAATTTAAAATATAGTTTACATCGTTTCATAATATTATAATCTACATACAGCTAGTGCTGTAGTATTCTAGGGTGACAATAATAAACAATAACTACCTATCCCAAAATTATTACAATTTATACACTGATGTTCACACGATTTATGTCAAAGTAAAGTCTCTTTATGTAGTAGACACTCGAGGGGAACAGCAATGAGTTCGAGATATTGAGTTTTATTGTAATGGTTATTTATTATTATTTCAGAGAGATTTCAATTCAGTTCGAGATTACGAAAAATTCGAAACATGGACGTTCAACATAGTAAGAATATCTATACTTTACCTATGATAATATTAACTCGTTGTTTTACTGTAATTGTTGTCAACAATGAATATTATATTGATTGATCGAGAGTTTTTTTACTTAATTTTTACTCGTATCAGTTTGCGTACCAATCATTATGCCATCCGAGTCGATTTTAACGCAACCGACAGCGATTGCGTAACATGCAGTGCACCGAACAACGGAAGAAGTCGTTAATTATTTCGGACGTACAATAAGTTATAAAACTTTTTCGTTCAAAACGCGAAGGCTAACAATCGAGGATCGTAATCCGATTACATTTTAATAACATATAATATGATTATTTTGTCGCGTTCGTTCACGCACATAATATTATAAATTATGGGGGTGGAAATGTATAGCCTCTGAAAAAAAACCCCGAAAATTCAACAAAAGTTAAAAAAAATGCCTATAAAATGCATTTAAATTACTTAATTTTAAGCAAGTTTTGAACAAAACTAATATTTTTTTTATAAAAATCAAAAAGTTCTTTTGCCTAAAAAAGCACAAATTATTTTTATAGTATAAAGGAAATGATAGTATCAACATTCAGTGAAAATAGCATGTATCTATCTACGGTCTTTTCATTTAAAGTTACACCAGAAACCAAAATGGATTTTTTTAAAAACCGATTTTGTGTTTAGTTCCAGTTTTTTTTTCTTTTTACCTCCGATTTTGAAAATTACTTGCAATTTTAAATGTTGATCGAAAATAAATACAATCATCGCTCCGCTGAGAATGTAAAAATCAAATGTTAGTGTTAAATGCTCTGAAAACTCTAAAAAGTACTAAAAATTTAGTAAAAATGAGCTTAGGATTATCGTCAAAAAATACAATCTTCTTATTCACAAAAATACATCTACCTATGTTGTAAAACGACCATCGCGTAGCTCAATTTATAGAGGAACGTAAAATGCATCGAAATATCAGTTCCGCTCACAACACTATACAGTTTAATATCTACCGTGAAATGTGTGTTTCGAAAAATCACTAAAAACTGTGCTCGGTGACCAAAACTCGTCAGCTTGCCAATATTACCATCTCTTCACAATAGTTCGTGCTGAAGACAGTAATATCGTCGTGGCACTTGATACAATACACGTGTCGTATAGGCGGGTATTATAGAGATCGCACAAAGCACTGTTCTCGGGCAAATTGGTTATATATTACGGCTCGTAGGGGGTAAATGTTTGTAGTCGTTTTGGCGCGTGTGTGTTTTCGCTGTCTCCGTAAACGTATTTTATCGATCAAGGTTTATTTTTTTTTTTTTTACGCACTCGCAAATCTTCCGGAACAAAAACGTTTCCGGGACACGCAATATTTTACTGGAGCATCACAAGACACGTGCATTACTACAATAGGAGACCGGACGATAATATTATACCTACACACTTTTGTCCGCAATATTATTTTTATCGTTATTATTTTTTAATCCAAACGGACGTACGAGAGCAGACGCAACACAGGTAGACGCATCACAATATACCCACACTTGAGAGGCACCTATCATACCCAAAGATTATAAAAAACTCGCGTTTTTCTCCCATTCGATGGCGAGACACACACACACACACATACATTTTTTATTTATTGCTACTTATATTATATTGTATATCGCATATAATACAGCTGGACGGTTTGTTTATGAAACGCTCACCGACCCATTCCGCAGATGATAAATCGGTTGTCATTTCGTACGTAGTGTCGCTCTTGTTAGACGGGATTGAA